GGGCGGTAGCACTGGGACCTTCGGTGGGGCTCCCTATGGGACCACGAAACGCTGTGCTGGGTGGGGGCGACGTATGCGGGCACCCCCACTGGGGCCTTCGGTGGAGCTCCCTATGCGGCCACGAACCGCTGTACTGGGCGGGGGGACGCATGCGGATGCCCCCACTGGGGCCTTCGGAGGAGCTCCCTGTGGGGCCACGAACCGCTGTACTGGGTGTGGGGGAGGCATGCGGGCACCCCCATTGGGGCCTTCGGGGGAGCTCCCTGTGGGGCCACGAAACGCTGTACTGAGTGGGGGGGGGGCACACGCGGGCATCCCAAGTGGTTCCTTCGGTTGAGCTTCCTATGGGGTCACGAAACGCTGCGCTGGGTGGGAGAGACGCATGCGGGCACCCCCACTGGGACCTTCGGTGGAACTCCCTATGGGGTCACGAACCGCTGCACAAGGGGGGGCACCCCCACTGGAGCCTTCGGTGGAGCTCCATATGGGGCCACGAAACGCTGTACTGGGTGGGGGGGACGCATGAGGGCACCATCACTGGGGCCTTCGGTGGAGCTCCATGTGGGGCCACGAAACGCTGTGCTGGGTGGGGGGGACGCATACGGGCACCCACACTGGGGCCTTCGGTGGAGTTCCCTGTGGGGCCACGAACCGCTGTACTAGGTGGTGGGGGGACGCATGCGGGCGGTAGCAATGAGACCTTCGGTGGAGCTCCCTATGGGGCCACGAAGCTCTGTACTTGGTGGGGGGGACGCATGCAGGCACCCCCCACTGGGGCTTTTTTGAATTTTCTTTTTTCGACTCTCAGCAGAGGGGATGAATCGGACAGAGAGGCGACCACGACATCGCTCGAGTGACCCGCGCACTCCGTGACAGGACGCGGCAGAGACGGACCAGTGACCTTATGTAACATCCCAGAAATAAAAAAGCACCGGCGAGGGAAAGAGCCACCGGCTAAAAAGCCCAGCTGGCCTGACAGATTAAAACACCGGTCTTCACCGACACCCGGTGTTTTGGGAGAGGGCGTCTGGATGGGAAAAATACTACATCGGGCCCCCCAGCGTTCCAAAACTGCTACCGGCGCCGAGGCGGGAGCGAGCACTTTTGCCCGGATGCTATAAATTCATCCACTAAACGCACCACTGGGGGCGCCGGGGAGGAGGGGGAGGCGGAGGCGGAAGATGGGAGGAGAGGAGGCGGGAAGGAAGAGGAGGAGAGGACGCCTAAAATCGCGGATAAGCCAGTACACCCAAATTTGAACAAACCCTGTCCCCTCAGCAGGGTTTGTGCCACCGCTGCGAAGCCCAAGCCCGCGCGACCAAAACAGTCACCAAACGCCTTGGGTGACTGTTTTGGGCGGGCCCCAAAAGCAATGAAAATGCGCTAGAAGAGCGACCCCAATCAGCGCGCGACCCCAATCAGCGCTGCATGGGGGGAGAGAGGAGGAAGAGGGAGGAGGGGGAGGGAGGAGGAGCGGGGCAAGAGGAGAGAGGCCCGAAGCGGTGGGAGCACAGGGCCCGGCACGAGCTGCTGTGGCGCCGCGGCCTCACCGAGGCGGCGCCCTCGGCTAACCCGAAAGCGCAGCTGCGGACGCCGACCCCGCAAGTTACGGGTCGACGCTGCCAGGGTGCCCGCGCCTGAATTCCACGGCTGGGTCGTGATAGGCATCGTCCTCATCAGCGACCTCCTGGGCGTGGCTGGGCAGGCAGCGCCGGATCATTCGCGCCGCTCGCGTCCAGATTTCGGTGGAGATCCGGCACCAGATCTGGCGCTCCTCTACGTGCACTTCGGTGCCCTTGCGCCGGGCCACGCGGCGAGCCAAGCTCGAAACGAGCTGCTTGGCCTGCGGATGCGGGCGCCCCAAGCAACTGAACGTGATGGGTCGGTAGTCGACGCCCGCCGCGTCCAACACGTGCGCATATGGCGCGAGCCGATCGACCTTGCGACATCGAATCGCCTCGCAACAATCCGTGCCGGCGCCGCGTGCCGCAGGGGCCGCAACCCCCACGTCCAGAGCCGCAAGGCGCGCTGTGAGACCAGAAACGTCTGTGAGAACATCTGCAGGGCGGAGCCCTGGACGTGAGGAAACGAGGCCCGTGGGCTCACGCTCCGTCGTGGAATCGAGGCTGCTCGCGATGTCGTAGAGCTCGTCGCGGACAGCATTGTGGCCGCGCGTGCTGGGCCCGCATGCGCATAAGAGCCCATGGGTGCCGACTGACCCAATCACCCCGTTGCCACAGTTGCCGCACGGAGCGAAGTCGTCCGGGCCCACTGCTCCGAGCCGCAACCGCACGGCCGTGACGAAGTCCTCCTTTGAGAGCGTTTTCCCCTTGTTCGGGGCCACGGCCCCACAGCCACTCACGCGAGACGTCTGGATGGGAAAGCTCGCTGAGCAGCTGCTCGCGCTCCCAGTCGCCGGCCTCGCGCATCTTCGCCAGGAGGCCGCGCGCGACAGTGGCATCTGCAAAACGTACGAGCTCGCTCTGCAGCCGCGGCCCGC